TGTTCATTTCAAAATGGAAAGGATCCAGGACTCTTTCTTCTCTTTTGATTTAAGCAATACATTTCGAAACTTTTATTAATATCTGATCTTTCATTCCTTGAAGTGATATGCAGCTGCAATGGTTTAAGTTATTAAGATGAAATGTTGGAAAGATTTTTGGAAGAATGTATAAGTTCTGAAGGACTTCTGGTGCTGTTCCTTCATATGGATACCTGCATAGCCAACATAAGCTGAATCTGTCTTGCAATCAAAAATATTTCTGTAAAATTTCTCATTAATTAGACCAGATCAGAGTTAAAGCAAGGATCATGAACCACCAACTTGCCAATTTTACAGCCAATTTGCATTCTTCCTCCCCTCTTCTTTCATTTCCTTCTTTTTCTTCCCTGTCTTCAGGCATTATGCGAACATTAAGAATGCAGCACATGCTTTCATCTACGTGTACACAACTAAAGACATAAATATATTAACTATGTCATAATTTTGTACCCTTCTCTACACATTCAGTGATTTATATGAAATATTCCATGACAATCCTAGAGTCAATCTTTTGTCTGTTCTGCACTTCTTCAACAAACAATAATAAATATTTGGACGACTGAAAACACGCAGTTTATTTGGATATGAAAACTTCCTTTAATAGTTATAACAGCCAAAAACTGTAAGTAGACAACATTTCCTTGATTTTGCTGAGGGTGTGGATAAAGTTCCAGATTCCCGGCAGGAAATCGTGAGGAATTCACTTTTTCTTCTGAACAAAAAAGAAGAATTCAGACACGTCTTAGAAAAGACAAAAACTGAATATGAAGCTCAAACCTCGTTCCCTGAAACAGCATCAGGCAATGGACTTGTATCAAAGTTCCAAAGTCAACAAAGCTAACAATGCTTTACAAGCAGCAACAGCTCTGGTTGTGCTGGAAAAATACCTGCAAGTACACACACACACAGGAAAACAACAACAACAAAAGAAAAAAAAAACAGCAAAGAACTTGTTTAGCTAGACACAGTTTAGAAGCAAGAAGAGATGTTGTAATGGATAGTACAGTAAACTCAGCTGTATTGCCCTTTGCACCCGTGCGTATAATTCTTCAGTTCTTCTTCAGTTTTTGTTCCTAAACACTCCAAATGTCCTTCTGTCTAAGACAGACAGCATCACAATGATTTTACTAGATGTCTTACACTTACAAGCAGCACTATTAAGCATAACATGCATGTGATAGATTGATAAGAAAAAGGTAGTTTCAATTGCAAGATAGTAAAGGATATTATAAACAATTGTAAAATGAAATAAAAGAAAACAAATCCCCTGTGAAATAAAAAGTCTCTGCATAATAAAAAAACCCTCCTCTCATTGCTAATTATCTGGTTAATGATGTCAGTAGAGAGGCCTAGGAAATGAAGAACAGAACTACCTTCTCGATCCACGTGCTACCTCCAGGGCACGACAGAAACATGTTGGCAGAAGAGTGAGGAAACTTGCCCTAGTGCTCCTGGGCTATGCCTAGGGATGTCTTTTTTTCATGTGCAATAAATATACTAAAAATGGCATAAGAAGAAAAAATGATGAAACATCTTGACAGCCTCTTTTAAAGTTTGTCAAAGATTTAATAAACTACTAGAAGTGCAGCAAGCCTGTCAAGGTGTAGATGGCTCTGTGCCTGAAAACCCTTATACACTGTCCATTACCACAGCTAATCCAGCCCCAGGCTGGATTAATTTGTATGATGTTAAAAAGCCCTTCCAGCTATCCAAAGGTGTCAAAGTAGGCTAGTACAGACAGAATGCTTGGGAATACAGCCATAGCCATTGCACTGTGGGAATACAGCCAGGTGTCCACTGTTTTAACCGTACCAACTTGTCTACAATATCAAGAGTGTATCCCATCCTCCTGTGCAGACACATAACAAGTCAAGTTAGAAAGAGCTATACTGATGCTGGAGAAAGAAACGTTCCCAGACTTTGAGCAGATCAAAGATCATCCTAAGGCTGAGAGTTTACGCACCTATTATTGTTGATAGCAAAGATAGAAGAGACTTCCTTTTCTTTCAAAAATAAAGATGGATGTTTTGAAGTCCAAAATGAGACGAGTTTAGTAGTTACACTTAGGTCTATTTGTCCTTTTTCTCCTTACAAGTGACAATAGGAAAAACATATATCAGAGTAACTTTTCATATTAAAATATTTGCATGAGCATCACAACAGTACCATAAATAAGAAAATTCATTTGGTTTGGGTTTTTAAATTATCTTTACAAGTTTAAGGAGTGAAAACACATACTTAAAGTATAGAAGAACATGCCAACAGTGACGCCTCATCAAAAATTTTGCCTCACTGTTCAAAGAATACTTTCATAAAAACAAGACTTTCTGTTAAGACACAAAAAATATGGCAACACATTTTTCTAACTAGCTTCTAGTATTGTTCATAGCAAATTTTTCAAAATGCCAGGAAAAAAAGATAGAAATTGGAAGATTTTTATATTACTTATTCCTCAGACTTCAGTGCCCAAATCACCTAACATTACAAATAGATATATATTTTAAGTAGGAAATTCTAGGATTCTTATATACTTTTTTTCATTGCAGTACTTGGAGCCATGAGAATCATACTGTTAATATTAATGGAATTAGTAACTTAGTGTTTATGTTTGAGGAAATAAAATGGAATTGCTAAACTACTTTTCTTTCTAATATCTGGAAGGCCTGTTACCAATAGACCAGTCCTTCCCAGTCTGAACAATTTTATAATGGAAATTTTATGCTAGATACTCTATATTTCCTTGGTTAGTTTTTACACTAGAGAATGACTTAGAAGTAGCTGAAGGGGAATAAGCATCAACCCTGCTGCATGGTATGGTTGTTTAGAAAGATGACTCTGTCTTTCCAAACTATATATTCTGAAGTTCAAATATATTTATTGTTATTATTTGAAAATTATATTTCAAACAGAGAATCATGCATTTTGTGTCTTATACCTATGTCACTTTTGAACTATGAAAATATGAAAGTTGATTTATAGATGACTGTCAAGCTAAGCATGTTGGGATTTGTGGCGTCTTGAATGTGGCCAGTAGCTGAGTTACAATCCAGTTGCTTGCTCACTCATCCCCAGCAGCGTATGAAAAAGAATGAGAAAGGCAGAAGTAAAATAAATTCATACTCCAAGATGAAAGCAATTAAATAAGTGTAGAAAACACAAAACATTGATGCAAAGGCAAGCACCTAGAACATCACACCAACAGGCCAAAGCCCAGACAGTCTGTATGCAATGGCTACACTGAAAGACTACTCCTCCTTTCTACTCTTTATTCCCTAAAGAGTTCATTATTTTGGAAAACTGCAGATATTTTGCAACAGCATATATTATATAAATATATACGTCATATAAATTGATTTTGAATAACTCGACTTACCAAGACTTTTTCACTATTTGTGTGTACTACAACTCATTTGCAGAATAAATATCACTGAAGATGGCAGGGCCTGAATATTACTTTAGGGTGTAATCAGTGTGACCCAAAACAAACAATGAAAACCAAAATTGATATAGGGTGCATTATTCTAGGTTTATAAAACTGGAAAAAAAAACATAAGCATAAGATAAAAACAACATTGCTTATAAACATAATTGATTATTTAGTTTTTTGAACTAATATTTGACCCTTGGGATATACAGTCAATATCCTACTGGAAGACAAGAGCACTATGCAGAGGTAGTTTGGGGAGTTTTGTTTCTAGCTCCATTGCCCAGTGCATTGGAGTTTAGTTTATCCAGTTCACCAGCATGAGCCAGGACAGTTAGAGTGTTAATAAGAAAAGGAAGAAGTAGAACTGCTTATGTTAGAGTAATACAGAATAGAAATGATGATGGTGAAATAAATAACAGAAAAGGAGTGTATTTCATCCAGAAATTAGCAAACATCAGTAACCATTAGCAATATCCCATTTGAGTCACAGCAATGTAGATTATTTGTATGATATCAATAATTAAATGAGAACATTTATATAATATAGCATTTGCGTTAGGAAAATGGAACTCTAGAATTTGGATGTTTCAAATAGCTTTTCTTGTACTTCTGATTATTAATATGATTTTCAAGAATGTCTTACTAAAAAAGTATAAACAAAACAGAAAATTCTCATTACTTATTAGATCATAAAAACAACAAAAACTCACCATTATTTTGGGTTACATATTTGGAGGAATGAACAAACCAGCCTCTGGCAAACTAATTCAGTGATATCCTAAAAATCAAAACCTGTTTAAATTTCTAAATTATTCTATTTTAACTTACCATGTAATGTAGAAAGGCAAAAAAGGTAAAATTACTCATTTGAAGTGGTTCAATGAAGTACAGAATTCACATTTCTGTCTATCCTCAGTTCTAGTAATGCAATATATTCTGTTTTCTACTCATACTACATTAAGAGAACCAAGATCATGGTAGAGACAATCAGAGGATTGTCTCAGGAACAATTCTGAAATAGATCAGCCTTCTGTAGAGGTTAGTGTAAAGCCAGATTGTAGCTGATACAGAGAAAACATCAAGTAATGCAAGCTTAGATATAGAGCCCTTTGTCATAACTGTCTTAACAGTCTTCTGACTGTCTTGCCTCTGGTTTATTAGCCTTTTTGCTGTTCTCCCATCTCCAGTTGCAGAAGAGGGACTGTTCATCTAGGTTACCAGTTGTGCTTAAAGGGATATTTTTTCTTCTGTTTTTTGGTCACATATGGTTTTGACGTCCTGTTTTAACTGAAGATTGGACGGAGGCTGTCTGATAACTTTTACCAGCTGAAGAATAAGCACACTCAGCTACATTCTGATCTCACCATGTCACCCCCTGTGTATGGGATCTGCTGAATCATGGCCTGAACCGCTGATTGATCACCTGAGGCAAGCAATGAGTCAGCCATGGGAGTACAGGTGAAAGCAATTCAGCTGTGCCGCCGGAAGGGGTGGAGCCTGGCTCCACCTCTCCTAGACCCCATTCAAGAGCTGACTACAAGTGTGGAAGGATCTCTTTTGGAGATCTAGTCTGCTGGAGTTTTATAAACAACTTCAGGATATGGGTAAGTGTCCTATTTATTCTCTTTTTGTTATTATAATCTGTTTTGTCTAACTCTCTTCTTTATTTCATAATTATAACATCTTAACATTCATTGATTATACACCCTGTAAGGTAGGAGAGCCATACTAATAGGGTTCAGTCATACTTGCAGCATGGAAGTTACATGGGACTGGTTCAGTATAAGCTGATACTACCTACCTAATTAAGCCACAATATTATGTAGCTGACTACTGTATGTGTGCGCTTATGGTTCTCCTGTAAGTCTTGAAACCTGGGCACATTCTCTATTTGTCATAAGCTTTTCTGGTCTGAAACAACAGTCTTGGATAGATAGACACTTATGTTTTAAAAAGTCTTGGAAATTAGGTAGCAAGTTGTACTTCTGTTGACACTTATGGATTCTATGTGAGCATACAGGCACACAGAAATAGGGTCTCTACTGAAGTTAGCCTTTCTATATATGGATATCCTTGATTAATATTGCTACTCATGTAATCAAAGAAATATGCAAGTAGTACAGTATTCTGTTTGCTTTTGACTGTCTACTTAAGCCAATAACTGACTTCAAAACTAGACTCCACATTATAGCAGTCTGCGTAAACTTTAGTCACATCCATAATGCTACTGCAGAAAAGAGAAGAAGGGTAAAGGGAACCTATATAAAAGTGGATAATCACAACAATCAGCACAGGGGAATTGCCTGTCCTGAAACAACCAAGAAAAGGTGGAGAAACTAAATCCAAAAGCAGTGTGCTATAGTCAGAGGTGTCAGAAATAATACCATTTGACTCAAGCTTGACAATTTAGTGTAGTGGTAACTCTCCTCTAAACTTTCTACCTTTGTGCATTCCTCAGTGCAGTCCTATTCTGTTTTATTACAGAAGCTGTATGTGCATTAGCATGTCTCTTTCTCTGTAACTACTTTTATGCTTGTGACTAATGGGTCTTATATTTTTCTCAGTGTTCCACCTCTAATGATTTGTCTCCCATCAAACCCGAAGTATAAACAAGATGTGGCATTACAGCAATGCAACCATGTCTAAATAGGAACAACAACATACTTCAGCCATCTCTTTGTACAGTATTGAAAGATATGTATGAAATAGTAATTGTTTACTACTTTCATATGAAAACAACAAATGATGAGATAGTATTTAATAAAGTCCTTTGCAGCCCGTAATGAAGTGAGAAATCACAGTCATAGCCTTTGCAAAATAATTTAAAGCTGTACATATCATAAAGCATGTGAGCATATTTCTGTCTTGTTTAATTGGTAAATAATATATCTACAAGCTTTCTCTCCTTTTCCACACAGAATAAAGGGATAAGTAAATTTAAAAAAAAACAAAACAAAAACAAAAAAAAAAAAACTACCAAAGAGCAGCTGCAAGTTTGATCTTTCTCTATACCACAAAAGAGGAAAAAGTGACTGCAATATTATAAGCAAGAATTTCAACTATTTCTTAGATTTTTTTTTTTTCAGAATCACTCCACATTCCAGAATTATGCGGATGGAACACAGTGGAAAATCAAATACTAGCACAGAATAAAACTACAAGGATTGTAGTAGAGCACTGCCTCACCCACAGCTGTTATGAGGTGGAGAACAAAGCCTAATTAAACTAAATGAAGAACTGCTATGGCCCACACTTACTGCTCTTAAAGCAACTTTTCTCTGATTCAAGTGGAAATGTAGTGCCTTGTTGACCATATCAGCAGTTAACTTTTACACTATGTTTATGTACATGGTTTATTTAAGACAATGAAAAATCTTTTTTTTACCTTCCTCCACAAAGGAACTAGTACTCTTATTAGTCTTCTTGACCTCTAAAAAAAATTAAAATGTAAAAAATAAAAGCAAACTAAACCAAACCATATATATTTAAAAAAAAAAAAACAACAACAACTCTTTTTTTACCCAGTTAAGCAGTTTAGAGTTTGGTATGAGCTTGGATACTCTTCTTTCAGTTCCAGTTACTGAGATTCATCTCTCCATTCTTTTTCACATCTTCCTCTAATTTTTTACATGCTTAAGTATTGTTTCTATTTCTTCTTGGACTTAAGTTGCTACAACTTTATCATAACATCTGAATCTCCATAAAAATCTCACAAACATTAAAAATGTGTCCAAGGCAAAAATTTTGGAAGAAATTAACTTTGTGCCAACACTCTTGAGTACTAACATGTAGCTTTGAAGAAGTCTGAGCAAGTCCTTCTGCCTTTCACTACTTGCAGTTTCAAGGAGAATTTATTTTTTTTGTATCATATTAACTACAGCTTCACTCATGGTATCTGAATATACTTATGCTATTAATAACAGTCTGCAATTGCAAAGATAAGCTAAGTCTTCCTTTCTTCAGGCTCTGAAACACTTACCTGATCCTACTACATTTTCCCTTGGTCCAAGTTCTTACATAGACAACTTGTACTTTTTAGATTCCTGTTTCTAGTCTTATAGTCTTATATAGTAGATGAGGAGAGGGAACACATGAGAGAAATAATCAGTCTTAGCTATCATCTTTATTAGCTTTTCTTGAAATTCCATAATCTTCTTTATTTTTTTCCCATTTCATCTTTTTAATAATAACAGTACAACCTTCCTGATTTCCTGAAGTCCACTGTGACCCTCTGCAGAAATTTCTGGCTACCGCTCTATTTAGTGCTATTCTTTTTTTTTTCTGGTTTAAATGTCATCCACATGCTTTATTTCCTTGGGTAGAAGATTTCCAAGGATTTTTAGCCCTTATATAAATACACATATATACTTATACATATCCACTTTAAGGTATTTTCAAGATACATTATATTCCATTTACGCAAGGAGCTCACATTCAGCAGAAATCAAACATAATTACATTCTCCACATTTTCCTAAAGAAAAACTCCTGCACCTATATTGTCTCTATAAATTCAGTTACCATAATAGTCTTAACAGGCAAATAAACACCTCTCAAAGACCTGATGAACTGATGTTCCAGAGACAAGAAACCCATTTCCCAGTTGTTCCCAGGAACAGTGAAAAAGCAGAGATGGTGCATGCAATATTTGGTAATAAAGGAGTAACTTAGTATCGTAGCACAGGATTTCTCATCCTGAGCTTTTTTAGTGACTCATGCAGCACAAGGAATATTTGTGAAAGCAAAGAGGGTTTTGGAGTTAGTGCTTGTTATGTGACTGTCATTCTGATACACAAGTTTTGTTTTTAATACCCTTATTTTCAGTGAGAAACGTAATCAGATTTTTATAATCAATAACACAAATGTTATTTTAATGACACCAGGGCAGGAGCCATGAATATGATTTTGTGACTATGTGTTCTCTAGGATTTCTAACTGAATATGTTTATGAAAGTGATTTCTTTAGTTTTTCCATTAACCTACACAATTCCCCTTCCTCAGAATGCTTCTATTTCTTTTCATGATAACACAAAAACAACATATAATGTCTCAGGCCAAACAATGAAATGGTGATCTAAAAGGCTAAAGACCCTTTGATCAAGGTATTAGAGGTTATTCACAGAAAAACTGTTGTGCTTCCAAAGTTTTATGTTATAACTTAATATGCTTAAGATAATCAATCTCAGCTGCACTAGACCTTTTGGTAATTCTGTTTCTATCATCAAACAAGCCTTATGGCATTGAATATAGTGGTAGTTCATAACGAAGCACTTCGTATAGAAGCAGCTGTCTCCTCACCTGTTTCCCAGTCCATCCAGAGGCCTGGAGAAATTCTTCAATTTAGCAAGCAAACTTAAGTCATTATTAGAAATGACAGGGAAACCTGATGAAATTGTACTTTCAATTGGAAAACAAAATTGCAATCAGACCAACATGATTTCCTCATGGTCTGACCATGCTAATGCCAAGTCGAGACATGGGCAAATGTATTTAAAAGTCATAATGGAGTATTACCATGCAATCTCTTTTTACTGGCCCTTATTAATATAAAACTTCAATTTGCATGTAAATGTGGTCAACTTTCATATCATCAAAATACATGAGGCCTGGGAAAGTAATGAATTGAAGTTTGATGCAGCAATTACTGACGTTTATAAAGAATTTTAAAGAGGTCATTCTAGCCTTGGCTGAGAAAATGAGGAAATCAACAGGGAATATTGTCAATATAGCAACAGTGGGAGTTGGAGTCAGTCCCAGGTGTTAGAAGGCCAGATGATGATTAATAGAGAGGGAGTATGAAGCCTTTCACCCAGAAGGACTGGGCTGGACCTGGAGCTCAATAACAGAGCTCTCATGAAAAGGTTCTTGCTGGGTTCCCACTTTAGCTGCTCGAAATGTGTTCCAGGGGGAATAAAGTAGCAAGTGTTTATGAGAGAGAGCAGTGCTGAAGGTTTAATTGGTCTCCACATCCTTTCAGCTCCCTTCAGTAGTTGATATGCAGTTTAACCTTTTTTTCCCCACCTCAGATACTCTAGTGCCACTGGGATTTTAATAAGGCACTAGCTTGATAGCTTGAAAAGACTTCTCTTCTAAATTGAGTTAAACTACCTTATTGTATAATAATGACCATTTATAAATCTCTTGATTTAAAAACAGCCCAAACAAACAAAAACCTAGAAAATATCATATTCCTGAAACATTAAAAACTTAAAGATAGTGGAATTGTTTTGAACTTTTTTTTTTCCTTTTCTCTGAAAAATTTCATACAGAGGAAAATATTAAATAGGTAAAAAAAAAAAAAAATCAATGCAGGAATAAGAGCTCTGCAGTATTTTCCCACTTTTATAATGAAAAAAAGCATTGTAAAGAGTGGACACTGTCCAATGTGGAGGATTCAAAACAGTGAGGAACTGGTTGGTGGTAGACAATGTGCTTAGTGGTTGGAGTCCTAATTCTGCAACATTGTGTACTTCAATGTAATTGCTTACACAAGTCTGAAATATATGAAACATTTTCAAGAGGCTCATTTCCCAAACCAATAGTTCCACATGCATATGCAGCAAAATGGTCAGTAATTACATAGATAACTCAGTAAAGAATCAGGC